TTGGATAAAACCTAAACGATACCCATCCCTACTTAACAGTTTAGAACAATTGCTGGTGTGAATGAGTTAGTTGTATAAAGCGCTTTGAGTGCTTACATAGAGTAGAAAAGCGCTATATAAGAACCAGTCCATTTACCATTTAGTTAGTTGGCATTGAACGCTACACCACCTGAAAAACCAAAATAACCACATTCATGATTAGTAACAGTCTTTGCCCGTGAAAACACAGGTGTATAGATGAGTTTGTCCTCATCACCTCTGAATGGCTGAAGACAGACAGATGCTTTCATGACAGAGAGCATCTTTAGCGAGGCTATCAGCAGCTGGGAGCAAGGCTCACTCCAGAGCACATCCCACTGCAATCATGAACTCATGAACCGAATCCTCTGTACATGTTGGAAACTTGTTATTCTGGACTGAAAAAAAGGGAATATTTTTGACTTAATTTGAAGCTTTATTTGAACTTGTGGACAGAAGCCATTTTAGTTTCGTTTGCACATTATGTTTTTGTTTACATACTACCATCCCTTTATTTTGTATCACTTATATTTAATTCATTTATTTTTTTATATTTTTTAATTTGGTTTTTATTATTATGTTTCCAGGGTCATTATTATAATTTGTTGCGTGACGAGACAACAGGGTGATGTTCACAGGTGAGCAGATTTGAGCAGGTGAGGTATTGAAGCCTAGAACAGGAGGTTTGCCCACAGGAAGCAGCAGTAAGAGTTAAATGCTGACTAATTGGCTAATCGAATAAAAATTGGCAGATTAGTCGACCACCAAAATAATCTGTAGTTGCAGCCGTAGTGAGCACACGAGCCTTTCATGTCGTTCCATTGGACTGAAGCACATTTGTAAGATACAAACTGCACTACATATGGCTAGAGCGCCTAGCCCTAACAGAGAGAAAGCATAATGGTTGATTTAAACACTAATAAAAAATATTCACTAATTCAGACTAAAATACAGTTATACAGACTCTAATTTTGACAGTTTCACAAGTACAAAATGTCACGTACTCCACCTGAATCTTTGTCATATTTTATGACTGAACTCATATAATGTCCAGCTAAATGAAATAGAAAAGCTGAAGTTAGAAAAGAACAAAAATAAGTAAAAACTCACCTCCACACTTGTACGCTCTGTTGGCTGTTCCACCTCAGTCTCCGTCCTCTGGTTCAACTCCTCCTGAAATAACATTGTAACTAAATCTGATTCTAATTACTCAAATGACAGATTTAAACGTAGTTGTTAAGTCTGCTGTTGGAACAGAGTCGTATTGTAGACACAGTCAAATTGGAATACATTCAAATTTATGTTTGATCATGACCCTTACTT